CCACTTTCCCTTCTTTACTTCATTTTTTGGTCTTACAAACTGTTGCCTGTTTGGATTACATTTTCTGCAAGTTTAAGGGCAAATAGGACCACAATTCTTCAGTCCTTAAAGCATGCAATTTTGTGTTACCTGCTGGGCTGGAGGGATAGCACAGTGGGTAGGGTGTTTGTCTTGCAAACGGCCGACTTGACCCACCCGAGTTCAATTCCTCCGCCCGTCTCGGAGAGCCCGGCAAGCTACTGAGAGTATCTCATCTGCAGGGCAAAGCCTGGCCAGCTCGCTGTGATGTATTCGATATGCCAAACACAGTAACAAGTCTCACAATGGAGACGTTAATGGGCCCATTTGAGAAAACTGATGAATAATGGGAGGACAGTGCTACAGTGCAGTGCTAACTGCACATCTAAGTACTTAAATGGAATAGTTATAAATTCATTTATATGAATACAAGGTGACTGGATTTAAGATCATAGATCTACCATTATTATTTATTGAATGTCCTATTACTCTCCTGTCTTTTATAAGGACTTGGCATAATTAACAAGCCAATGGACTAACTCTCTGCATATTTTATAAAACAGCAATTAAAGGCATTAACTATATATTAGTTACTCAAGGATCTTAACAATTCAGTCCTTGGAAGTAAAAATTCCAAATTCCAGGAGTTGAAATTTTTGTTAATGTTTGTTATTTATTTTCCTTTTGAATGAGCTGAACTGTTTTCTTTGATCAGATATTGAAAATTATACTGGGGCATTATATTTTTAGAGTTGCAGATTGTGTCAACCTCATCATATTACTTCCCATTGCCTATTTTATTGATCATTAACACCATTCCAGAACAGGAAAGGTCTTTTGAAATTAAAATTATAATTGAAATTCTTACCAATCATTTTTAACGTTGACTATATATTTCATTTATTTAAGCCATCCCAATTCCAATCTGCATGGGTATCATTCACCTAAATTAGATATTTATATTCAAACCATTTGCTAGGGAGAATATAATACAGAAGTCAAAGGCTGGGATTACTAAGGATAGCAAGGCACTATTTTACTACGTAACACTGTTATTTTAAGACCATTACATTTATTTTTAGTGTGCTTGTTACAAACAGGAATGTCAAAGAAGCCAAGATACAAAGATCGTGCAAAATCAGATCATTAGCATATTTTAGAGCCAAAATTTATTTTTTTAAAATGTTAATTCTTCTCATTATGTCAATCATGATTTAAATTTTTATCGAAGTTGTTGACTAAAACATTATTTCAACCTAATTTAATGTCCAGCAGGTTTCAAATTCATCTTTCTTTTATAACAAGCTTTCTTCCATTTCTTAAGGATTTTGACATCTTCCTATTGGTGCTTCTGAGCTAGTCTGCCTCACCCATCTCAGAAGGGTAAAATTCCTGCCCAGGTACAAAGCAGTGTCAGTTTCTCAGCAGTTTCCAGTAGAAAAATTTCTGTGGGAATTTAGTAGGTTCAGTGCCAAATAAGATTCTTCAGAGTCAAATGAATCTGGGAAATTGTATATTAGATTAAGTGAAAAGTTCTCTTTTCTATTGTGTCTCTTTGTAGGTTAATAAAAATGGTCTGAGATGCTCCAACATAGGGATAGAGCATTTTACAAACTTATTTTATTTAAAGAGTATATCAAAATTTTTTTCACCAAAAATTTAAGGGGAAAAATAAACCAAAGTATATTGGTTATATGCATAACTAGTCATATTTGAGTTTGTATTTTGTACATTTTGGAAATCAGCACCTTTGCTAAAGGAGACTGGTTTTAGTTGTGGCTTTCTGCCTGTAATGCCTATTCCTGACATTTGACAAATGATCACTCTTTGACCTTTGTCTGGTTTGGGTCATGAATCCTTTATCCCCTGGATCTCCACAAGTCTTAAAAACAGACTTTTTTGTTTTTGAGGCCTCACCTCCATCACCCATTTGTCAGTCTTGTAAGTTCTCTATCTTGACAGAACGCAAAGGTTTTACTTCATCAGTTAAGCATATGTATTTTTGTCCTAATTCTTGATTAATCAAATACCCCAAAGAAAGGGTAGGTGGGGGTAATGCTCACAGAATGGGACAACTCATACTGGTCTACTTCAATCTTAATAAAATACAGTGGAATTACATTATATAGACATTAATATTATGTGTATTCAATGAGTCATACTTAGAACTCTGGCCTATGATTGTATGGAGAGAACTTTTAAATGAAAGGCAGAGTTTATGTTAGGGAAGATTTTATTCTAGAAACTACCCATAAAACTTAAATAATACAAGGTCAATTTTCCACAAAAATGAAAAAGGAAAGAAGATATTTTCTGCAGTCTTAAGTGGGACCGCCATGTAAAAACATGAGTTTCCAGCTCATCTGGTCATTTAGTTTTAAAACTATGTGATATTCATATATCAAATTTTCATATTTCCATTTTAAGTGCTTCCATTCATGTGAGAAATCATTGAGATTTTTATGTTGCAGTGTTTCTCATTAGAAAAAGCACATCTACTTTTATAAATGCTACTGAACTACTGATGGAGAATTTCATCCACAATTTTACTTCACTTGTATAGCATAATTATTCTATTAGAAGTTATGACTGCCATTTTATCCTTTTACTGTGTCTTTCATGGTAGAAGATATCACTCTGTCCTATAAATGCAAACCAAATCTTTCATCTGATCTCAGAGTAGCTGAAAACTATTGAATGTTGGAAGAATGAATTTACTCAAATATGTCACTCTACAAAATGTCATATAGTTTTAGGGGATTTTTAAAGATAGTTTTGCATATGCACAATTCCTTCTGTATGTCAACTTCAATAATATTCAGTAGATATGAAGTAGATGTACTTAAAGATAACAGACATCCTTTGTGGTCAAACACAAAAGTCACTATTCCCTTCTTTCTTCCTAAAATAAAAGTTCTATTTTATTTAGGCATCTAATTGAGCGCAATATGCTGAAAAGGAGACAATCCTACTAGCAGTTTTAAAAGTAGATCTTGAATTGCACAGGAGCATTATCCAGTAGGATTATCTTATTATCCAATAGGATCTATACCCACCATTGTTATTGTATTTAAGGGGAATAATAGGGTATTCCTATATGCTAGTGACTGATTTCATACTGATAAAGTAATAAATTTGATATATGAGATATAAGAGATACAAGATAATGTTTGTTAAGGGGGTTCTAGAAAGAACTCCTTCACTTTCTGTAAAGGTCAGAGATAGTGAAGGTGATATTTCTTCCCAAGTATGATTTGAGGTCGAAGTACAACTCCAACTGTTATTGTCACCTTGCTACCAAGCCTCTGAGAATATCACTACCAAGACTGGAAGAGAGTAGAAAAGGTTAAACCAATGTCTTTATAGAGATTTGTCAATCCCTGAATCAACCAATCTGAAGTCCCTCTAAACTCTTCCTTTTAGACAATGTATCTGTCAGTCAGGGCTGCCATAAAACAGTACCATAGACTGTGCACACATTGTGCACATTGTACCATAGACTTTGTGCACACATTGAGAAAAGGCCCAATAAGAACAGATAGAAAACTGCTCAAAGACAGACATACAGAGAAGTGCTCTCTCTCTCACTCCTCTCTCTCTCTCTCCCCTCCCAAGATCTGACTAATTAAGATCTTATTCTTCTAATTCCACTTAACCTTAGTTTCCTCCTAAAATTCCTATCCCCAAATATAACTGCATTGAAGTTTAGGGCTTTAATATAAGAATATTGGGGAAGGGAAGTCAATGAAGCCCACAGTAGATAATATAATGAATGTCTTTAGGCTGTTTAAGCAAAATTTTATAAGCTTTCTGTTATACACCATTAAATACCTCCTCAAAGATACCAAATCTTAAGAAGCAATAAACAATGTATGTCTAATTCATGATAAAGAACTTGGGACGGTCAAAAATGTCTTTTCATTTCTCAAAAAAATAGTTTTAGAGTTAAAACTGGTTAGTCTGCTGCTATTATGGAGTATTTCATGAAATGCTGATTATACATATATGTGATATCACGTTAACATAAACAGTCCAACCCTTAGGGAGTTTTGAGTTATAAGAGAAACATTTTTCTAGGATCATGTGTTCTGATATAAAACCATATCCCAGTCCACTTCCATCATTATAAACTTCTGGCAAGAGATATTAGTTGGTGATTTATCAAACAAGACTTCTAACTAATGACTTGATGAAACTATCACTGTACCATAAAACACTTTAACAAATTGAAATGACTATTCCTTTCAAGACTTAACTCATTTTAGATCATTACAGTTTATTCCACAAAAAGCAGTCCTCAAGCATCACAATAATTCTACAAATAAAAATACACATTTAGTTTATGTCTGAAGTGATCAGTTTATGTTTATTCTTACAACTCAAATTTCATATTTGTAAATATCTTCTACCAAAATGATGGAGAATTTGCTCCTCTCTAGCAAACTATTCTGAAATATTTACCTATCATTTTATTTACATTGTATGTGAAGTAACTTCATGTAGTCTTCCAAATGAAAATAAAATAAAATTATAACAAGATTAAGGATTTTCATAAAAACACAATAAAATTCATTTTTAGTTTTTAGTATAGGCAACAGAAAGTCTAGCACTTATCAGTTTATAAAAACATAATGAAACAAACAAATGCAAATTCCACCCAGAAAAATATCATGAGATAAATTTAGAGATAGATGGGTCCATATTAAAGCAATAAAACTTGGGCCAGTTTCGAGCTCTTAGATCTTTGGATGCCATTTTCAAGAACTCAGTAATACAAAACATGTGAGGAGTGCTTTAAAAAAATTATGTTAGTTTTACCATGTATTTTATGACTAGCCAAATGTCACATTAAATTTTATCCCTTGTGGCTTGGAGTGAAATGCTTGCTCTGTTCAGAATGGCAACACTCAATTAAACAGCATTTTTCATGATCTACACCCACCATTGTTATTGTATTTAAGGGGAATGATTGGGGTACTGACCTATACCGCGTTTCTTATTATCAATGGAGATGAAGCGTATGCAGGGATTACTGGTGATGTACTGCCCGGCCCAAGGAACATCAATCTTCGTGCCAGTTTCATAAAAGAGACCCAGAGCGTAGCGGGAGGAGTAGCTCACAGACTCCAGTTGTTGCCTTTGACATTCACTAATTACTGTGGAAGGGAAAAAAAGTACAGGGCATCAAACTAGAAAATATCATCTTTCTTTTCAGTGCATCAAATATAAAACTTCTTGAAACTGGTTCCAAACATTTCCATCATTTCAATCTCAATTACGATGTGAAGTTTGAAAGGTATTAAAAAAAAACCCATCATTTTAATTTCTTTCTACAATGGTTGTTGATCTTGGTACAATTACTTTTATCACTCTGAAACATCTTAGACCAGGATTTGGTACTCTCACAATCTGATGCCAAGTTCAGTCTCTAGCTCTGTATTCAACTTATTATCCTAGGACAATTTGGCAACATTATATATTCCATGTATTTAGTGCTTATTATAAGACAGGGTCTTTGCCAAACAGCTGGCCCAAGAATTCACTTTAATAACAATCTTATATGGTAGAATATTATCCCCATGTTATAGGTAGGAAGATAGCCTGCATGTTTTCATAATACTCCTAGCTGTGAAAAACTTTGATAATAAAGATTTTCTAAATTTTCTAACAAAAGATAGATTATGTTTGGTGGTTTTTTTTAAATTTAGGTTTTTTATGCTCCTCATTCTACACCTTCAAGGAAATTCAGAGAGACTTAATCACTTGCTCAAGTTACACAGCATCCATATCATGTGGTCAAAATGGAGTCAAGAATTCCCACATAGGAATCATGCACAGATCCTTATTACTCTACAATTCCTTTACAAATCTGTAGTCTTAAGACTTTTGACATTGCTTTCTTTTCTGACATTAATGGTTATTTTGTACTCAGAAGTAAAAGCCATCATTCCCTTCAACCGTCATTTTCTACAATATTAAAAGATTTATTTATTTATTTTTCTTTTTCCATTTTTTATAATTTTATTTATTGAATCACCATGAGAGCAGTTACAAAGCTTTTGGGTCTAAGTCTCAGTCATACAATGAAACACCTGTACCTTCACCAGTGCCCATTCTCCACCACCAAAAACCCCAGTATACCCCCATCCCACATCCTCCTTCTACCTGTGGGGCAGATGATTTTCCACATTACTCTCTCTCTACTTTGATCACATTCAATATTTCGACACCAGGCCCACCATTATTATTTGAGATTTACCCCAACACTCAGATCTGCTGAAAAGGCAACAGTAGATAATTTGTGTTCTATTGCTGGTTATGACTAACATATGATGTCGTGTGGCTGCAGTAGGGCCATATGGTTTTGAAATTCTGAAATTTTAACAATTAAATCTGGAGGGATTTCTGCCAAAAGCCACTGAGTTTAGAGATCTGCTTCTGAGTCTCTGGGATCATGGCCGTTGAGCAGCTTGATGAGGAGCCAAAGAGGCCATTCGCGGGCGATGACTTGGGGTCTCATTGGGGTGGGGAAGACAGGCCCGGCTCCACCTTACCCCCATCCCGTGAGACCCAACAAGTTTCGTCACTGCGGGCCCAAGCCTGACTGTCCAATGGCCTCTGGAGGATGACAGCCACCAATTCGCCAAGAGGGAGCAGGTGGAGGGACAACACCCTTTCCTCCCTGGGGTGGCCCGGCGACAGTAATGTACTGTGGAGTCCGGATGCATTTCTGCCAAACACCACTGGGTTTTGAGATTTGTTTCTGAGTCTCTGGGATCATGGCCGTTAAGCAGCTTGATCAGGAGCCAGAGAGACCATTCGTGGGCGATGACTTGGGGTCTCGTTGGGGTGGGGAGGACAAGCCCGGCTCCACCCTCATCCCGTGAGGCCCTGTGTGTCTCGTCACTGGGGGCCCAAATGTGACTGTCCAGTGGCCTCAGATGGATGGCAGCCACTGGGCCGCCAGGGGGAATAGGCCAAGGCATGAAACCTATTCCCACTTGGGTTGGCCCAGCACCGGTAGCCTACTGCAGAGACCAGACGCATTTCTACCTAAAGCCACTGGGTTCTGAGATTTGTTTCTGAGTCTCTGGGATCATGTCCATTAAGCAGTTCAATCAGGAACCAAAGAGGCCTTGCCTCCAATTATATAGCTGAGCCAGAGATGGTTTGTGGGTGTGTTTCCCACATACCTAACTTTTGGCTGTTTACTTTCTTGGTAAACTTTGCCCCAAGTTTTTGGGGTCTGGCCAAAGGCACAGCAGCAATTTTGGGGTATCTGGAAGTCTGAAGGCGCCATGAGACTGCTGATGCACTCGCCTCACAGGTACAGATTGACCTGCTGGCGGCACCATACCCCCACATATTAAAAGATTTAAATGCTTGAATAACAAATGACCTTCTCACACTTACCTCATTACACTCAATGTATCTTAGGCTTCATTTTATTACCTAATCCACTTTTAAGGCTATGGTTTGATATTATACTTAACTGCTTTCCAAGAATTAGAGGATGGAGATTAATATTAGAGATTGAGCACATACTGTATACTTAATATGTAAGGTTCTTAATATGTAGCAACTTTTTTTCAGTTAAAAAACAATCCAACTAAACTGTATTGTCAGCCATTTAGTAACTCAAAGGGTCTAAAGATTTTTTTTTTTCAAACTCAAACTAAAGAGTCAAGTAGGTTAACAACCAAAGTGGACCTTTTCCTTCCCTGACATGCACATTTGGACATTTGGTTCTTTTTTTAGACAATCTGCCAAGTAGCAAATCCCACTGGGTAGCTCTCTGAAAAGGTAATGGATATCTATATAGAAACAAAACTAACCTTAAACACCCTTGTCTGCTCCTGAGGCACTACAATTCACTTTGAGAATAGGGAAGTGAGACTTCTGACAGAAACAATCTCATTTCTGAACACACTAATTTACAAAAAAAAATTATCTGAGTTTGAGAAGATTTTCTTTTTAACTATTGAAATACAGATGGAACCAAATAGGACAATCTTATTTTGTTTGGATTTTTTTTATCATGCAACATATTAAAGGGAATGACCCCACTACTTTCCAAACAATTCTATTTTGACAAGGAATGTAAAAAAGTTACTTTACTATCATGTATTCAAGAGAACATTGGCTACAAAACAATGCTCACATAAAAATGCCTAATTCCATCATTTAACTCTGAATCACTTGGATTACATAATCTTTATAACTATGCACACAACATATCACATAGAAGAGTCATTTTATGACTATTCTGTGAGAAAGGGTATTAAAAATTGTATTGAACAGAGTTATTTACTTCCATGTTTTTATCAAAGACAGTTAGTCCTCCATTTTTTAGTGTCAATGCCTGGAGCAGCATTTATGTGTAAATGTTTGGCTGAGGGTAGGTGAAGGACATGCAGAAGAGAGGGAAGGGAAGGGAAGACAGACAGAAGAAAAGGAAACAGAGAAAATATGAGCAATATTCCTAAATAGCAGCTAGTAAATTATTTTATTTTTTTATTTTCTGATGTAATTTTATTCTCTTTGCTATAAAAAAATAACAATATATTCTGCTTGTCTTCTATGTTATTTTGGTTTTGGTTTTGTTTGGTGATGATCTCATTCACTCATTCATTGTCTACTTCTCCACCTTCATTTCAGGCACTCCTGGTCTGGGTAATCAGTAATCCTGAATTCTAACACCACAGATTAGTTTAGCTGTTTTTGAACATCATATAAATAGAATGATACAGTATGTACTCTTTGTGGCTGCCCTCTTTCACTCAGTATCACACTTGTGATATTTATAAATGTTGTTACATGTAATTGTATTTAATTAATTGTATTTGCAGCTAATTAATTCCCTTTGTGAGGTAATACTGCTTATATGAGTAAAGTAGACTTTATTTATCCTTTCTGCTGTTGATGATCCTTAAGATTATTTATAGTTTTTAGCAATTATAAGTGTTATATAAAGAACATAATATGTATTTCTTCTGAATAAGACACAGAGTTCCTAGATCGTGGAGTTTTGATAAACTCAGTTTTAGTCGATATTACCAAATGGTGTTTAAAGGTTACTGAAGAAACTTATGATCCCACAAGCAGTATATGAAACTTTAGCTTTACCCAGTTATTGCAATCTGTCTTCTAAATTTGGGGTATAGTGACATCATTCTGTGATTTTAATTTGCATTCTGTGAAGACTAATATTTGGAAAACTTTTCATGTTTATTCGAATATCCTTTTGTGAGAGACTAGCCAAATATTTGGGGTGGGGGTTGTCTTCTGTTTTCATATTGCTTTGCAGAAGTTCTTTATATATTCTGTATATGAGCAATAAGTTGTGAAAACTTTCTTTTCTTTATCAGTTTCACCTTTTACTCCCTTAATCATGTGATTTGATGAACAGTTTTAATTTTAATTTAGTACATTTTAATTTAGTACATAAAAATTATCTTGTGTCTTAAGAAATCTTTGCCTATATCAAGACTTTAAATATATTTTGTTACTTATTTATTTTATTCTGAGAGTATTTTTGATTGACTTTCATAGGGTTTTGAAAATACCTTGAAGATAAAGCAGTCAGGATTCATACTGTCCTGGAAAAGTGGCGTGCGAATCCTTGGGGAAAAAAAGATGGGTGGCATCACCTTCCCATCACCTTAACTTCAAACTGTCTTACCAAGCAGTAGTAATTAAAACAGCATGATACTGAACTAGAAACAGACCCGCAGACCAATGGAACAGAGTGGAACATTCTGTCACAGACTCTCAAGTATATGACCTCTTAATCTTTAATAAAGGAGCAAGAAATGTTAAGTGGAACAATGAAAGCCTCTTCAACAAATGGTGCTGGGAAAACTGGACAGCTACCTGCAAGAAAATGAACTCTGATCTTTGTATAATGCCAGGCACAAAAGTCAGATTAAAGTGGATTAAAAACCTCAATATCAGACCTGCATCCACAAACAAGGAGGAAAATGTAGCAGAAACCTCTATGACATTGGAGCTAAAAGCATCTTTAAGGATGAAATACCACTGACCAAGCAAGTGGAAACAAGCATAAACAAATGGGACTACATTAAACCAAGAAGCTTCTGCACCTCAAAGGAAAAACTGACCAAAATACAGAGAGAGCCCACAAAATGGGAAAGAA